TTCTGCTGAAGTGAGCTAAAAGGTCCATTTAAATAGAACACTCTCTTAAACATGCTTTACACATCACTGCAGGCTCACTAACTTACAGCTACACAGATTAGCAAAGGCAGACACAGGGCTCAAAGGGGCCTTCTGGAGTGACTTGACCAATCTGCCAATAATTTATGCACATGCTAAGAACAGCATGCAATCAAAAGGAGCTGTCACCTGCAGTACTTAACTCAGACCAGAGAGATCTAAGGTGAACTAAGATGCAACTGCTTTCAGTGACACTGAGAGACTATCCATAAGGTTATAAACCCCTCCTTATAACATATGGCAGCTACTAAAACTGCAACAGGACTGTGTAATAATATTGCATAACATGAGGTGAAAACAGGGGACCAACCAGGCCAAAACAAGAACTGGCCACAGCTGAAATTAAAGACAACACTAATGAATACTGGAATCCCAAGTCTGGGAAGTAAACGAAATTTTTCCCTCTCCAGCTTGACTGCGGGCTAAGGACACTTGGGGAACTAGTGCTTCTTTGTAAGAAACATTTTGTACACAGTATCTTGTAGTGTTTTGCAGGAATGGAATATATGCCATTTAATTCAGTGAATCAAAATGTGAATGAAGTACATGAAGTCAGTATCTGCCTATCTATATTTAGTATATATGTATAGTGTTAGTTTCTGCTTTGTAATTTTTTATGTGCTAATTTTTATAATTTATATATTTTCAGTAGACAATAGTTAAATCTCTGACACTTTACTGTCAACCAAAATAAGCAGGAGACTGGCTGCTACCACAGGAAAAAACAGTTTCTCCGTCATTATTTATAGCTGCAGCTCTTTATCATCATGTACTTTCTAAAAGTGGATTATCCACTTTTACCTTTCAATCAGAAATGGTATTTACAGATTTTAAACAGGTGATGCAGTCATAAAAGGGCCCTCTTTAAAAGTAGAGTTACTTAAATCGAGCTACCTCATTGTTCAAAGGCAGAAACTGTCATAGCTATGAAGGATCTTGTTTGTCAAAACTGAGAAGAACAGCATTTTAAACCATTTTATCTGAGACAGATAACCAGTTAACCAATCAAGCTGATGGAAGAAGGAGCAAGCATAAGTTGAATCTCAGAATCATAGAACAGCCTGAGATGGAAAGGACCTAGCAACAGCTGCTTGACCTCACCTTCTGCACAAGGCATCCATGGGATTCCTCTGTTATCCTTGCTAAAATGTCAGATTTTTCCGTGGTTTTTTTTCCCCGTACAGCAAAACAAATAGAAAACATTATAAAATAGAATTTTGTGGAAGGGTTCTTAATTAACTTGTTAAAGGAAAGATAATCAGAAATCAGTTACTCAGTGTCATTATTACCAAGTGAAAACATTTCTTTCTACCATCTGCAGGATCTGTGCTAATTTTGTACTGTGCTCCTCTCTATTTATATTTATTAGAAAAGTGTTAACATTTAATTATTTTAAAATAGAAGGCTTTTATTTTATCCCATTAACAGGTGCTACTGTGGAAACAGGCAGCACAGTGCTGGGGTAAAAAATGGCTAGATTAAGTGTGATGCATTCAGCTTACAGCTAGTTTTTTCATTTACAGACTTACATTGTGATTCAGGTTCTCCTTGAGTCTCTGGAAACTACCAGAGGCTGTAGGTCATGCCAACGTCTCTATTTCTATCAGAGTATTTCACTTTCACACAAATGTGTATATTCATGGGTATACCTAATTTTATCCATGTTCTTCTAGTAAAAACCCGTAACTGTGGAAGTGTTTCTGTATGAATAATCTTTCCATATCCTAGGAGATATTTCCTGGGCATTAATAGCATTTAATTTCATAACAGCCAGGCAGCACACTTCCTTCAGAGCTTCTTCATGGGAGCCTGCACTGAAACCATCTCCTTGACATAAGGCAGCCTTGAAGCTCTAACACTTCGCTATAAGGTTAAGTTTGTGCAATCCAAAAATTTGAGCATGGTAAGGTTGACCAGTATTAGCTCATGACCTCTGCTGCTGAGGAGGAGAAAGACAAGATAAAGGAAAAAGTAAAAAACTCTGTTTTGGAGAGATTATGGCAGAAAGAAATCTCTAAAAAAGAGGACAAGCCACAAATGGTGCTGAAGGCAATCCTAAAGGAGCTACGGGGGCTAGAAAGCTGGTCTGCAGGTTTAAATACCCTTCCAAAACCAGTCTTGAGATTGCCAGAAATTGAAGTTATAATCTACTTAGAGAAGAGCAACAAGAAGGAAGAGAATGTGCATGTGTGAGGAAGAAACTAATATCAGAACTTTTCCTCTGCTGGGCAAGTGCTTCACAGCAGGCAATGGGGCAGGCAATGAGTGCTTCACCACTGCCAGATAAATTGAGCTGCAAAGAAACCTCTCCAGGCCATATTTCTTCCCTTGCAGCTGGGTGCCTACTCAGAGTACCTTCACACCTTCATCTTGCCAGACTTCTGGACAGGTCATTTACATTTGATAGGCTCAGTTCCCCACCTGTAGGATAGAGATAATGATACTTCCCCACCTAAGAGAAGTGCTCTGCTGACAAATGTGGATTACTATTTAGGGGCAGCCATGTCAGAGCCTGTATGGAATTCCTAAGGCATGAACTTTGTGTCCTCTCTAAAAGTAACAAACAAGAGCAGCCTTTATATAGACAGGATGCACAATGAACACAAGATGGAAAGGATCAAGGTAGTATGTTTATTTCCAAAGCAGACATTTGTTATTATTTTCTCTACATCTCCTCCGGGCTGTGGAGCCCCTACTGAAATAATTACCTTCCTGCCACCTCAGCTCAGGAACGCTGATGGAAAGCATGAGGAACTTTTTGTTTTTCCTATGCCTGCCACCAAGTCAAATCTTTTTATTAGCAAGGGAGCTGCTGCAGGAGCTACCTTTCATTCCCCAGAAAGGACAGAAAGAAGGAATTCAGCTGTCACACCACAAAACTTTACCTAAATAAAAAGGAAAGGAGAACTGATTCAGATGCATGACTTCAGCCTATTTCCTAAGAGATGCAAGATGAGAGCTGCAGCTATGAGCCTTGCTTTGGAAGGAAGCTTTGCAGAACACTACCACAAACACGTCTGCATTTTGAAAGCAATGGCCAGTGATCTGCATCCTGAAAAGTCACAAAACATCTGCTTTCCAGAAAATATGGCACTGTGTGCCAGGGCAAGCAGTGGCCTTCTGGGATGTACTGGCTATTAAAAACAAACAAAAAAAAACTCCAATACAAAAACAGGCTCAGGAATAAAATCTTGAAATACCACTGACTTTGATTCCATTCCTCAGGGTCACCATCTTGGTCTTCTCCCCTTTCATACACGTCCAGCACTCCTGATGTTCACCATCCCTGGAAGCTGCATCTACCTGTACAAAGGCAGGTTACTGCCCACCACTGATGGTCAGTACCTACTTCTCTTGGTAATAACACTGTGAGGGCATACTAGAAAACAAATATCCTTTCTTTCAGTGGGAATTTGGGAATATTTAACAGCATACTGTGCAATGGAACTGTAAGCTGTAGCCCAGTATATATTTTTTAAATGACCTAATGACATTATGTGTTCCATCTACAGATGGCATGGGAAGTGCCACAGCGACTGCTGAGGTGTATTAGCAGTTTGCCACTTACAACTCAGAATAAATAGGCAGAATGTTCCCTGGAGCCACGATACTGACAACACAACCAAGAGACAAACAAGTATGCTGAATATGAAGCAGTGGTTACACTTTATTAGATCTGTCAGTAATTCTGTCACTCCACAGGAGGCACGATCCAAGCTCATGTAACCTGTATCTCTGCCCCATTAATCCTGACTAACAAGTAGGAGGTGATAACTGTTGTAACTAAGAAACACAATTAAATATAAAAAATCTACATTTAATAAACACCATGAAGTTTATTCAAACACCCTCAAGGAAGAAACCTGGACTCAACCAAAAGATGATAATCTTATCAACTGTATCCTAAATGAGGTCTGATGTACAAGGGTAAGTAATTTTTGCACAAACATAGATGATAACGTGTACTCTGATGATTCGTGACAGAAATGACAAATTTTCTTATATATTTTAGTAGGAAAGTCATAATGAAAATACAATTGAAAACTGGAAACAGGATAATGAAAATATTTTTGACTTATAGCGTTAAATAATCACCAAATAGAATGAAATCACAAAGTGAAAAATAAATAAAAACTCTACCTCGCTTCTGTTTTACATATTAAATAAACTAGCTTAAGGACAAGGTAAAAAAAAAAAAAAACAAACCTCCAAGCATTTCATATCAGTCCTGCTTGACAGCATTCCTGTATTCCTGAACACCACCACCCCTCCCCTCTCCCTTGAATCTCAGAAGGAAAAAATTCACACAGTGTTAAAAAGACCAGATCTGCCTACATCAAGAAAAGCAATAAACTACCACTACCTGCATGCTCTGTGTGCAACACATCACATAGCATGCTATCAAATTTCAGACAAAAGGCTTCAGAAGATGACGTCCACCTCTCCAACACAGTTTTCCACTTCCCTGTAAGAGCCCCAAGAAAGGCAGAAATACCCTGAACAAATCCTCCCTCTCACAATATCACTACATAGGGTATAAAAGCAATGAGTAACAGTTTCTAAGTAAATTCAGCAAAATATGGCTCTTGCCTGGCCAGCCCTACACCAGACAGGAGGGAGAGCAGAGGACTGTCATCACAACACATCCATGTGTGGAACACATCTCCCACAAGAGCACTCACGGTTAACTAAGAACAAAGTGAACCAGCAACGACGTGCATAAACCATACCTACATCTGTAAACTGCATGATATTGAAAGCCATTCACACATTACATAAATCCAAAGGGCTTGAAAGCTTTTTGTTATGGCAAACAAGATGGTCATGAAATGGTTACTGATGGAGCAAGTGGCATGTGGCACAGAACTGTGCTTGCAAGACTGACAGAGAGTTTGAACAAAAAAGTATTGAAAAATTCAAACCTGTGACCAGTTCTCTGATTTCCAAATCTGTAGTCTTGCGGAGTAACCGTACTAATGCTGGGATACCACCACAGTTTTTCAGAGCTATTTTGTTGTCATCATTTGCTTTCCCATATACCAAGTTCCTCAAAGCTCCACAGGCACTACGGTGGACTTCTGTCATCCGATGGTCCAATAGGTCCACCAGTAATTGTATTCCACCTTGTCTTCTTATCTGAAAAAGGCCAAAGTGACAATCATGCAGTTAGCAATGAACACCAGTACGAATTAATGCTGTCCAATGTAATTAAGCTGTGTTTTATGCAGGCTGCAGGCCAGCAAAGGTGCGTTGGTAACACCACAGAGCTGCTACATTTCACTGCCTTGATTCCTAGTATTATTCTTTCAGTGGCAACATAACTGTACACTGACAAATCAGAACTTCTGTAAAAGCAGCCAAAATTAGTCAAGTGTTGCCTCATCAAGGTTTCTCATGGTTTGTCAAGGTTTGCCTTGGCAAGAGTTTATTATGTGCTGGAGAAACCTCATCTCCTTCAGAGTGTAACACATCACACGCTAGAGGAAAAAACCACAAGGCTTCAGCAAACAAAAAAAGCACTTAGCATCATAAAGTTTTTAGGCATCCTGCCTTTACATTTAATTACTGGGAATGGGAACAACTACTGTAGTCTCAGTAAGGACATTATATCAACTAACCTGGGATGAGCAATGATGAAAGGAAAAGGAGGAATCACCAGAAACATAAAGATAAGGATATAAAATAAATCGTGGTAAGCTTGTTCTAACAATGTTGAGGAAGACCCTTAAGTGATGCAGGAACAGAAATCTTATGTGTACCCAAGGTAGCCTAAAAAATAAATTTCTAATGTGGTATCTCATGTAAAAATCTTTCTAAAAAAAGCACAAAAATATTTGAGACAAATGATCAAGAAGGTCAGGAATACTAAGTACAATTTATTTTGAAACCATTTCAAACAAATACTTCTTAATTGTTCTGTGGCACGATTTGCTCCTCAAAGAGTAATCATTCTTGGATCTAATTTTAAGAAACCACACAGGTTCATAACTAACATCTGATGAGTACAATGCTTTAGCTTCAAGCAAATTACACAGACAACCCTGAAAAGGTCCAGAAGTTTCCCCATATGTGTAGTCGGCTAAGGCCCACAACAAGCCAGGCATTTCAGCTGGCCATTTTACATTTAGGACAACAAAAAATTTGAAGTATTTGCGAAGCAGTTTTTGCATGGCCATGTGTTCTTGGGGCTCTGCAGGGGGCAGTCTTGGAAGAAGGAAACAGTTAAAGTACAATAAAATCTATTAGGAATTATCTTAATTTACCAACTTACAATCTTTATGTAGAACCAATTTATACCATTTCATGGATCTAACACAAGCTTAAGCAAGGTCAAGTGCTAGGTCCTGTGTTACTGTCACAACAAGCCCATGCAATGATACGGGCTTGGGGAAGAGCAGCTGGAAAGCTGGCTGTTGGAAAAGGAACTGTCTACAGCCAGCTGAACATGAGCCAGCGTGTGCCCAGGTGGCCAAGAAGGCCAACGGCATCCTGGCCTGTATCAGCAATAGTGTGGCCAGCAGCATTAGGGCAGCGATCTTCCCCCTCTGCTTGGCACTGGTGAGACTCAGATCCTGTGCTCAGTTCTGGGTCCCTCACTACAAGAAGGACATTGAGGTGCTGGAGCAAGTCCAGAGAAGGGCAATGGACTGGGGAAGGGTCTGGAGCACAAGTCCTGAGAGGAGCAGCTGAAGTAGCTGGGGTTTAGCCCGGAGGAAAGGAGGCTCAGGGGTGACCTTATCACTCTCTACAACTGCCTAAAAGAAGTCTGTAGCCAGGTGGGAATTAGTCTCTTCTCCCTAGTAACAAGTGGCAGAACAAGAGGAAATGGCCTCATGTTATGTCAGAGGAGGTTTAGGTTGGATATTATGAAAATATTCTTCACCAAAAAGGTTATCAAGCACTGGAATGGGCTGCCCAGGGAATTGGTGGAGTCACCATGCCTGAAGGCATTTAAAAGGTGTGCAGATGCAGCACTTATTGGTGGAATGTGAGTGCTGAGTTAATGGTTGGACTAGATTATCTTGATTGTTTCTAACCCAAATGATTATGTGAATCTATGATTCACCTCAGAAAAGACTGAAAAGTGATTCAGGCTTTAGGGCTCCAAAATTGAGCTATATGAAATAACTTACTGCTAAACCAGAAGTTCACCCTTTCTTCTTTAAGTTTATCTGGCATATTCTTACTTTTTTAGTAACAGCAAAACCAAAAAATAGAACAGCTGTGTTATCAAAAAGCATATACACCATGATGTTACAGTGTTAAATTAAGATGTTTTAATGTCTATACAGTTACCACACAGCTTTGATCTAAATGCCAGAGTGATAGTGTTTAAAGACAAACGAGGATATTTTTCCTTAAATAGGCATTATATCAGTACTAATGTGCAACTTTCTGAGCAATATGCAGGTCACCTCAAAGACTACAGCAGCTGGCACTGTATGATGCATGACGAGATACGAATGGACATTGGCAAAATATATGAATTTCAGGCAGAAAAGTTCACCAGTCTTTTTGAGAGTTTATGCTTCTGCTGCTTAGAGAAACCATGACCTCTTTCAGTTTAGAAATGAGAAAAGCAGGTCAAAGAGAAAAGGTGCTGAAAAATATATCACTAGTCAAATATTTTCCATGTTAACAGGATGACTTGCAATTAAATAATTAGCTCATTTCTGAGCCAGAAAAAAAATCACCAAGTTAATCTGGGGGAGGTGGGGGTGAATCTTGCTTGTTTTGTTTGCTTGGGCTTACAATCCATTACCATTTAGCCTTCATATAAAAATATATTTGCTTCCCCTACTAACCAGATTTTAAAAACCAAGCATGCTACATGAAGAGCCACCTACATGACAAAACAGATGACATTTACTAAAAAGACTGGGAACAAAAATTTATGCATCAGTTCTACAAAAGGTGAATCAACCACAGAGCTTCACACTTCAACCTCGGAAAAGAAACAAGATCTGATAGAAGAAAGAATACAGTTAAAAAATATATGAGTTGCCTGGTGTGATGAGTAATATCAAAAACGACAGAATGAAAACATGCCTGCTGATCTTTGTGAATTATATTTTTAAACCACAATATGTTGAATGAATATTTTAATTGCTTTGCTGCTAAAAAAAAAATATTAAGAATGAGAAAAAGTATTACTTCATAGAAAAAATCATTCTGTGTGCTACAATTTAGCTAAAGACTTAGAGGGCTCTGTCTCCATTCAGAAGGACTCTGTGCCTGTGCTGTTTTTCCCACTCTTTCCCTTGCACACAACCAAGTGGCATCTCACACTTCTCAGCAGTTTATCCCGTGGATGCTCTCAGGTGATAGGTTTTGCTATCTTCTGCTCATTTCTAAAGGCAAATGTGTGGTTCTGCTACACTGAGACAGTATTCCTGAGCTGCACCTTCCCTTTCCAGTTATGGCAGCTGACAGCACACTAGTGTTCAGCTCATGCAGCCCTCTTCTCCCAGGAACCTGAAGCCAGGGAGCAGACTGAAGTGATTCAAAGAGTTTCTTAAAAGCAAAGGCATTAAATATTAATCTAAAATGCATTTCTGTCAGAAAAAAAAAGGGTAATAAAACAGAAATGAAACAGTTGTTACATAACACTTTACATAACTTGACAAAATTTCTTAAATTTTACTGAAGAAAGAACCTATTCTTACCTCAGAAATAGAAGATTTATTTTACAAACTTTCTTTGAATTTCCAAGCTCAGTTATTTCGCAGAGTAACTGTGTCATGCAGGGAGAATTGGAGATGATTGTTCACAACTAGGAGCCCAGTTTCTGATGCTGTTTTTTATCTGGACTCATCTCTTGCTTTGGTTGTTGTTTTTTTTTTTTTTTTTTACCAACAGGCCTTTATTCACCACAAGTCTCACCCCATCTTCCTGCTTCTATCAAAAATCTATATAGATGTTTAAAACTATACTCCCCAGCAGGTTTAAGTGTGCCTGACAAATTGTGGGACTGTGATGGATGTTAGCAGGATCTATTTAAATGCATGGAAAATGAGGCAAGGGAAATGAAATTATTTGTTCTTAGCTTTAGGGAGCTAAGAGCCATAGCCTGGAGGACAATTCTGACCTAGTCTCCCGGGGCAGATCTCAGCTAAGTTAGTCACAGCTCCAGTGAATTCAGCAATGCTACTGCCAAATGTCTATGCCAAAAGTGCCTGGATGGATGGATAAGCAGCAATTTGCACCTTTACGGCATCAAATCCCAAATCCCAAATCCCAATTTGATACTTCTGTCTCTTTCCTAACTTAAGATGAAGAAAACATTTCCTAATATAATATTTACTGACATATCAGTGGCTGCTACCTTGTTACATCTAGGAGAAAAACAGAATATGTCAGAGTCTGTTTGCCTAATGAAAACAAACAGTGGAGTACCAACTTGTCGGGAGATAGAGAGGACCAACTCTATTCTCACACAGACCAGCCCCAAAGTAGCCACTTCTGATCTCAAAAGAATGACCTTCAACTCCCCAGCAACTGAGTATGCCCAGTTGCATCTACCCATGTCTCAAATGCATTGTCCCCTTTTTACACCATCTTTTCTCAAAAAAAAAAAAAAAGAGGATCAAAGGAGAAGGATTAATAATATTAACAAGGCTGGGTGAATCTGTGCTGTGTTGTTTCTCATGACTCTCTTAATCCATGGATACCAGTAATTTCTGAAAGTTATCTTCCTTCTTTTTTCTCACTGAAAATATTTTGTGTATGTCTTTGGAAGACACTGTTAGAAAGCTGTTAAATACAGAGCTGTGATTAGGAATCTATGCCAATCAAAGTGAAAACTGAAAGAACAGAGATTACATCAATTTTGGGAAAAAAACTATTTCCATGGAAGAATGCATCTTCCTTCTTTCATCTGAGGAACCATATGTGTTCTTTCACCAGGGTATTTTCAAACTTTCCTTTAAAGTTGGCTCTCTGCCATTAATGTCACTGTCTACTTGCTGGCCACAAGCACTTGACTGGCCCCACTGACGCCCAAACACAGGCAGCCAGGACAGGAAGAGGTGCCAGACTCTAGTACAGACATTGATAAAAGTGCACTCATGTCAGCTTGATGACAGAATCTTCTCCTCTGGCATAATATGAAGTTTTTTGCTTTACATCTGAGAATA